ATATGTTTGAGAAAGGGTTTCCTATAGAGGTCTTGGCTCAGTTCAAAGCCCTATTTGCAATTGTTTTACACCATGTCTTTACAATCTCTCCAAAGAAGTCTCTGGCTGACACACTCTTGCTCATTGAGAGCTTGACTGTTTCAAGTTAACTATGTGATTTATAATGGTAATAGGACCGAGTGGAGTCCAATTCGGTCTGTAATCATACAAGTGATTAACAAAATCAGACGACTTGTCAATCATGAGAATTATAACAGACAGAATTGGAAGACAAAAATCATGTTACCAATTAATCATAACCTTCACAATTTCCAAAAACAACAAATACATATAGGACAAATATCTGTGGTAGAGACAAATTCTAAGTAAAAAAATGGTTATTGTGATCAATTCTATGATTGGTAGATTTGGCTGAAAGGACTGAGCATGATTCAAAATTTCAACTGCCTGATTATAGCCAACTGTCTTATTACATTGTCCACTTACAACTGTGAAGAATGATTCGTGAAAAATAAAGCAGCTAAAGCACCAATCACATTTGAGTAAATTGTAATGGTTATGATTAAGGGGAGAACTGAAGGGTGTGATACCTGGAAACAACTTGATATTCACTCTTGCAGTGTAGCTTGGTGAAATTTCATGTTATTATAGCAACAGTGACGAGACCATTGCAGTCTGCACCACATAACTAATGATTGAGAAACCCCTCCTTGGTTAAAACAACTTATAAAAATTTAGACAACTTCCTGTACAATCAAAGGAGCATTACCACATGATGCACAGTAAGTATTTACAATTAAAGAAAAACTGTGAAAATATCAGTAAATCCCAACACTCAAGGGATAAACTTGCAAGAAAGTGGGTAAAAAAAACATTGGGTAATGAGAAAAAACCTGTATACAAATACATCCCAGACTATTTATGGGCTTGGTATAACAAAGAAAGAAAGCAATCACCAAAAAAAAAAAAGAGGAAGAAAAGCTTTAAAATGAAATTTAAAAAAACAAAACAAAAAAACAGCAAGCTCCCCGGGACAGGATCTGCACCTAGTCTGGGACCGCGGTTTCATGATACAATGCTCAACCCACAAAGCTGCAGGAAAATTGCCATGAAATTGAGAGCAAATTTAAGTCAATTTGTATCGAGTCAACAACGTAATGTTAGGATCAAGTGTGCAAACATTCTGAGGGAAGAAGTGTTTTGACTCCAAGATGACATCAGAACCAAAACTCTGCTATTTGCCAGTTACATAAGTTTCAAATTCAGGGGCACTCTCCTCCTAAATTTAAAGGTGTGGGAAAAGGGTGAAATTGATACTAAGTGGATAAAAAAAACATTGGCTAATGTACCTTAATGAAAAAAATAATTTAAAATTGTGACAATACACAGTCACTTAAAAAAGTATGTTGTACAAAATCCATTGAAAACTATGTAATGTTGCATACTTTTAACACACCCACCTCTAATATGGGTTTAAATGACCCTCTCACAGAACTAAGATTGAGATGGTTATTTTTAACTGGTACTGATGATGATAGTAGTGTGATATTTAATTAATTTCAGATGCGAGATGGTATTAACACTACGCAAGATCTGTTCAGAGGTGAGACTCATGCTGTCATCACTAAATCATTTTGCTGTGGCTAAAGGGAACTTGTCAACCAACAAGTAGGTGATATTTTTAATGAAGAGGAGGGAAAATACTTAGTAAGGTTGAGATCTAGAATCTTGCTTACCCCAAATTAAGAAGTGTTATTTTGGTTGACAGTGACAATTTTGTTGACTTCCTAAGATTACCACTGTCCATCATTAGTTCTGTAAAGAGAGGTCCTTCCGTACTTGGCCCTCA